GCCCTCCCCCCCGCAGTCCGTGGCCCACAGCCCTGCTCCTCATGCTGTTTCCAGACCATTCCTCAGCCTCTTCTGCAAACTCCCTGCCCCTCTGAACATCGCCCTGGCCTCCTCTACTGACTTCCTAAGCCGCCACCGGCCCCGGGCACACCTCCTTGGAGGACCTGGCACTGCCCTGCCTCATTCTCCAAGGCGCCTCCTGCAGGCAATCCTCCTGGAGGACTTCCCAGTCCCCCAGCACCTGGCCTCGCCCCCTGCCTCAGCCAGCAGATTACCAGTCCCGCCCACTGGTCCTTAAATACTGAAATCCACCTATTGCACCAGTCAGCCCCAGTGAGTCAGGGAAGAGGGCAGCGGAGTGACGGGCTGAGGCCCCATCTGCTCTCCCTGCTCCCTAAGGATGGGGAGATGGGGAGCTCTGTGCCTCCGGCCTGCAGCTCTACCAACCCCGAGGCCCGGCCCAAGCACATCTGGGAGCAGGTGCTCAGGGCCCGAGAAGAGCAGACCCTCCCGGCAGCCCTGCATGGTGGGTGAGGCAGTGCTCACCCCACGGCTGCGGGAGCCAGCTCCGAGGCGTCTGCCCTCTGCTCACCACGCCCCTCCCCCACCCCAGCACCACCCGTCCCTGCCTCCTGGGTGGCTGAGGACAGAAGCTATTTTCACAGAGAAGTCCCCCAGTGACTGGATTAGGAGAGAATCAGTACTAAGATGCAGTGTTCGCCGGGATGGAATGACCCACTGTCGCAGAGCAGGGCCGGGAGCGTCTGGTGTGGTTCCCCCGCGTCAAGTCACGGTCCAGACAGGGCCATCATTTAGCTTGTAAGAGGCTCATCATCAAAAGATCACACCAATAATTTCTAAAAAAAACAACCAATAATTTGAGGCTTATTAGAATAATTTGATGAATCATTCGCACTTCAACTTTTAACGCAGTAAGCAGTTTCGTAATATATACTTGATGTTCATAGAAAACAAGAATGAACTGTAGTTGCTAAATACTTTGAATGTCACCCCTACCTCCTTGCAACCTGAGCCCAGTTCATGGGCTTACACTTGACCCTGAGAGTACCAGCAACCACACTCCTCATCTCAGTCTTTCGAATCCACTGCTGGGCTCCTGTGCCCCACCCTTTCAGCTTGCATGAGCCCCTGACTCTGCAGTTCCCTGACCCCCACGCTAGGCTTCCTGTGCGCTGACAGCCCCCTTTCCACTGTTCTCTTATCCAGCGTAGGGTCTGTCCGCTTTCATAATCACTCCCTCCCCTTCCTGCACTCACCGCACAGACCCCCATCCTGGTTAAAGGCCACCTCCAGCCAGATCAATTGTAGCAACACACTTAAACGTGGCCTGAGGAAACCACGGGATCTCAAGAGGGACCGTGAAGCCACCAACACACATACTGCATGTCTTGAGCGGCCCATTCTCTCTCCCACTCTCTTGGAGAAAAATCTGACTCCCTTCCTCCTTCCTCGAATCTCCAGCCCTGCCTCGCCTTCCTCGTTCTCAGTGGATGATCCTGCTTCCATTTCATCAAGAAGACAGAAGCCACCAGAAGAGTAGTGTCACCAGCTACCACCATGTCTACCCACAGGTGTCTCCTGCCCTCCTGGTGCAGTGAACACCACCACCCACCCCATCAAAGACCACCCTTGCACTTCCGTCCTAGACCTCATCCCCCCTCACATTGCTCCTGCATTGCTCCCTCCTTTCTCTGGGCCAATTCTTCCCTCTACTACAACACTCCGCCCAGCATCACTCATGCCTTAACCTCTCCCCCCAACACCTAGCAGCCAGCAGGGTGGTAGACATCCCACTAGCACAGTGCAGGGGGCAGAGGGAGGTAGAAGGAAGGAGACAACAAAGGATGTGGTAGGAGCTCGAGCAGCCAGACCAGCATGTGCAAAGATCCTGTGGTAGGAAGGAGCATGCAGGAAGGAAGACCCGGATGACATGTACACAGAGAGGTGAGGCCAAACAGAGGTTGGGTCAGGCCCTGTTAAAGATGGTGAGCTTTTTGCTGAGAGCACTGGGAAGCTGTGGAGTATTTTCAGCTGGAGGTGGAAGAATCAGATTGGCATTTTCAAGGACCACTATGATAACTCTGTAGAGCGGGGTAAGAGGGCGTGCAAAATGACCACCGGGGAAGCTGTTGCAGTCCTCCAGGGAAGCAAGCAAGGTGGCCTGGCAGTGGGTGACGCTGTCAATCGAGAGCAATCAATGAGTTTGAGAGACGCTGAGAAGCTAGCACAGCAGGATGTCTTGCAGGATGGGACCTGCGGTGAGGGGGAGATGGCGGCGGTGATGACTGGGCTCAGGCTGACATCAGGAAGCGATGGAGAGACGTTCACCGAGCAACTTGGTGCCTCCAGACGACCAGGCTTGAGGGAAGGATCATGAGTTCAGGTTTGGACCTGCTGAGCCTACAGTGCCTTTATGATATCCACTAGGAGGCCCTGGCCAGTTTGCTCAGTGGTTAGAGCATCAGCCAGCGGACCAGAGAGACCCGGGTTCAGTTCCTGCTAAGGGCATGTGCCTTGGTTGCAGTTTGTCCCCAGCCCCAGTTGGGGTCGTGTGGGTGGTGGCCAGTAGATGTGTCTCTCTCACATCGATGTTCCTCTCTCTCTCTTCCTCCCTCCCCCGCTCTCTATCTGAAGATGAATGCAAAAATGTCCTCAGGTGAGGATTTAAAACAAAAAGATGTCCACGAGGAGACATCAAATAGGCAGTGAATACCCACTGGACCTCACAGGAGAGGTCTGGGCGGCTGGTTATTTCACGTGGCCTCTCAGCAAACATCTCTTCACCCTTCTTCCGTGCTCGGCGCCGTGCTAGGAGCCCCCAGCCAGCCCTGTGGCTGAGGCCAGGCGTGTGCAGGGGCCGCCAGGCTGCGTGGCAGCGGGTGCGGTGGGCAGCCCTGAGCAGAGGGGTGCGGAGGCTCCACCTGCGAGCCCTCGGCTTGGGACTGAGCACTCCCCCTGATTTGTTAGGAGACTTGGGGCACATCAGGACCGCTCTCCACGCCTCGCCTCCTGCAGGCTTCCTTATAAAGATGCCTGGCATCAAGTTGGCGCTGATGAAATATTTGTCAGATTGAATTGAGAAAAAATGAAAGTGCTTCGCAGAGTGCTTTTCAAACACACTGATTTGTAATCTTAACAATAGGGAGGCTAGTGTATCCTCTCAGCAGCTGGTATGAAGGCACTCAGGAGAGGACCGTGTGGTTGGAAAGGGGAGAGGAAGCTACCGCGGGGAGGTTGAGGCCTCCTGGTCACGGACCCAGATGCAGGGGGCAGAGCGACGAGCTCGGGAGGACAGAGAAGCAGGAGACAAGTCGGGGGAGGAGGGAGCGAGGAGAGGGACTGCCCAGAACACTCAGAGACGAGGCCTACCCTGTGGGAGCGTTTTGCATGAAATGCTGTGCTCTTGGGACCCTACAAAGCTTCTGTGGACTTACCAGAAGTCCCGAAATGCTTTGGGGAATTGTTTTTCTTGCAGAAGTCAGCAGAGGAGGTGAATTTGGTACAGAGACAGTGAATGGGGGAGGAGGGTGTCGACCGTCGTCTCCGTAACGTGTAGCATATAATAATAGCTAGAAATATCTAAAACACTTGTCTTCATGTAAGTACACTTTTGTCCTATGTATGCAGGTATATGTACTATATACGGGTCAGTGTTATAATGCTTTAAAATCCCTAAATAATGTCTACCGTGTATAGGAAAGCCTTCTTTACGGGATACGTGGCTCAGAATTCTACGGAAAATAAACTGCTAACACGTCCTGAGGACTGTATTCAGTAGGTTCTATCAGCTACCGTCCCAGGAAAAGCCCAGTGCCAGAGGCTGAGCACCATCCAGCCCACTTCTGTCTCGGCGACGCCCCGAGCACGTCCACGACTGCGCCAGGCTCTGCTCTGCGCACTCGGTACCTGTCAGCTCATCTACCCCCGACCGTGCGGAGGCGGAGTTCCTCCGCTCTCGCTCTCGGTGAGGGAACCGAGGTGTCCCGGGGAGGCTGGGCTGGACCCAAGTGGTCCGGCTCCCGAACCTGACTTTCACCCTGCGCGGGGGAAGGTAGCCAACACGTGTACCGGTGCTGGTGCTGGGGACACACAGTCTCTGCTGCCATGAGGCGGACGTGGTGGTGAAGTCTGTCCTCCGCGTCTGTTTGTATGGAGACCGCGTTGCAGTCCGCGCGGTCACTTAGCGACTGCTGGCGGGGCCTGCTGTGGCACTGACCGGGGCTGCCCACCGGGCCAGTTCTCACCTTCTCACCGAGCAAATATTTACAGTCAGAAGCCCTGATTCCATCACTCCCTGGCGTGCATACTTACTCAGTACTCGGCCTCCCTGAGCCTCAGTTTTCCACCTGTAACATGGGGATGGCAATGCCCCTCCAGAGGCCTGTGGCAGAGCCAGAATGAGTTAGTCCAGGAGCCTGGCAGAGAGCCCAGCCCCCCGTGCGGGCTCACCCGGGGTTTCAGAGCAGTTGGGGACGGGGGGCCTGAGTTCCGAGCCCTGCAGATGGGATGGTGCTTTGCAAGTTCATCTGAAGTGCTGTGGGGATACCCCGCCAGTCTCCAGGCTGCTGCTTTGGAAAGTGATCTCTTTCTCTCGTGCAAATTGCGGGGAGACTCCCACCGAGCTGGAGCACGGAGGCGCACACACGCACCCGGTTCATCATCACGGGCCTCCTCGGTGGTAGTCCCCAGCCCCGAATCAAACCTCCACCGCCCGCCAAGCTTCAGCTAACCTGAGCGGCCTCGGTGGAAAGCTGGGTTTTGAAGTCTTCAGCCTTAGATCCTCTCCGCACGCTGGAGGGGAAGGGGCGTGTTTTGATCTACCAGGAGGACATCCAGACAGACAAAGCAATGCCTTCACTCCAGGGTGAGGGAGAGGGCTGGGCCAGCTTCAGAAGAGTGAGAGGTCAGGAAGAAGCCAGTGGGTGCTGAACCCCAGAAACTGTGATGTCTCATGTGCCCTTTCCTACCTTGTTTTCCAGGGAACTTCAAAGGTCTCTGCAAGCAAATTGATCACTTCCCAGAGGATACAGATTACGAAGCTGACACAGCAGAATATTTCCTCCGTGAGTGCATGCCATTTCTTATCTCCTTCACGGTGACGGGTCCTGCCCTCCAACCTTCAGTGCGCCAAACACCAGGACCGTCTAACGGTCCCTGTCTCAGCAGAGGGCAGAAAAAACTGAGCCTCCCCACTTCCCTTCTGTCCAGAGGCCAAACCTCCATGCATGCTGATCCCCCTGCCTACAGCACCTTTCCCTCCCTTCTTCGTCTGGCAAACTCCTTCCTACTCATTTACCAGGTCTCAGCTGAAACATCACCTCTTCCAGGAAGTCCTCCATGCCCCTGAACAGATTCCCAGGGCACAGCACTTGTGTCATGCTGTAAGGTCTTTCTCTATTTGAGCAACCATCTCCCTCATGGTCCGACCAAAGCTGCCAGGCCAGCGGCTCTTCCTGTTTTGTTTGCATTATATTGTCAGCCCAGCGCCCTCAGTAAATATTTCTTGAATAACCGAATGAAGAAACACCAAGCAGTGCCAGCCTAGAACGTCTACTGAAACAACAAATGAGATTTTTTTTTCTTCCCCCACAAGCCAAGTCAAAGTTAAATCCTGATGTAATAGCTGCAATCTTAAATCCATCTGAGACACATTATCAAGAGAAAGCATTTGAGTCCCAGAAAAAATTTGTCAAGAATCGACAAAAACTAACAGGATGAAATGTTCCCTGAGGAAGGAATTTCCCAGAGAGGGGCTGAGGGTCCTTGACACCTGGGACAGCAAAGCGGGAGCAGAGTGGCTGCAGGTCCCCCCCAACCCCACCCCCACCCCCCGCTCTCAGGCTCGCTCTTCCCGAGATCCCTCCCCTCCCAGGGGCGCCCCCATTCTCTGCCCCCTCCCCGCCCCAGGCAGAGTGGTTAGCATTACCCTCAGATCACATTTATGAAAAATGTAGGAGGCATTTTATTCTATGGATCACCCAATTCTTTCAGTAATTACTCCTCACTTCAAAGCCAGCCTCGGGTCAGCCTGGGATCTGGGTCTCATTGAAAAGCCCACAGAACATGAAGTTAGCCAGGCAACTGGGAAGAGAAAGGAAGGGAATATGATGTAATTTATAGATTTCTTTTAAAGCGGGGGGGGGGGGGGGATATCTTACAATGCCCATCGTTTATTTGTATGAATTTCTGCAAGAGACTGCCCTTAAATGGAATTCCTACAGGGCCATTCGATTGTGTCCCTGTTACCACGTCTGGCTCCCAAAGGAGCCTGGGGTGCCTGGAGGCAGACTGGACACCGTCAGTGGGCTATACCCTGTGCTCAGGGCCGAGGAGATCAAGGTGAATGAATGAGAGACAGTCTGTGGTCCTAGGGATACTGACTCCATGGCACACAGCCTGGGGGGAGGACCGTCAGAGAATCAGCTGGGGTGGGAGATCCCCACGCGGAGATGCGTCCTGCACACGGGGGTGGAAGGGGGAGCAAAGGTGAGCCCCAGGCCCAGGGCACAGCTGGGTGCCAAGTGCTTGCGGCAGAAACTCCCAGTCTTTGCTGTGCCTAGCACAGCTCCTGGAACATGGTAGATCCTCAATCAGTGCTGTTTGTTAAATAAGGGAAAATATAGGCTTGTTCAGTGACTATTCCCGACCTCCGCTATTTCTCCGTTCCCTTAATCTTAAAGAGAGAAGGGTTTAGGGGGTCGGGTTCATTTTGTCCCCGGACAAAGCACTCGAACATGTATTAGCAGTGCAGGGTCTGAGGGTCTGAGCTGACTAAATCCAACAATATGTTTGAGCATCTATAACAGGAGGTCAGCAAACTTCTTCTGTAAAAGGGCAGATAGTGACTGTGTTGGGCTTTGCGGGCTATAGTCTGTCCCAACTACTCAGCTACCCTGGTGGCACAGGCGTGGCACAGACAGGGCGAATCCGGGTGCCTGTGCTCCAAGGAAAGGCTTCATCTACAGGAACAGGTGGCCCTGGGCGTGGCTGCTGACCTGACCTACAGCAGGCCAGGCTTGAGCTAGACGATAAAAGTAAGTTTTTATAGCAGGAAGATGTGAGTTCCTAGCATTCTCGACTAAGCTCCGATCTGGTTGGGTGAGAAGCTAGAAGACAGGGATCACTCTTGAAGGATCCCCTGCCCCACGAACGAACACATGCCCTCACTCCCCGATCCCCAAGAACGTTTGAGGAGTTCCACAGCTTCTCCTGAGCACTGAGTCCAGGGCTCCCTAGTGACATAGAGGAACAGCTCCAACAAGCCCTGGTCCCCACCCTGGGCCTCCCAACATCTGGGCCTACAAAGCTGTGGCCAGCATGGCCCTCGGTATTGCGAGCTTACCCAGGAACCGGTGGTGACCAGACTGTCTTCCCAGCCGCTCATGGGGCCGTCGGTGCGTCTGCTAGGGCGCCTCCCTCTCCTTAGTCCTCACCAACGCTCGAGGGGCGTGGTGCAGAGCGGAGGCGGTGGGCCAGGGTGTGACTTCCTATGACTGTCGATGTGTCTGCGTGCCTGACCTTGTGCACGAGGGGATGAGTCTGCGTTGTGTTCTGTCCTTCAGTGTCCGTGCATCTGCATGTCTGCCTGTCTGAATGCGTAAGTGCCTGTGTGTTTGCACATGTCTGCTTGTGTGCCTGTGGGTCCCCGCGTGGTGAATGTGTGTGTGCGTGTGCGTGTGTGTGTGTGTTGTGTCCAGGAAATGGGAGTGTATTTCCCGTTGCCCCGATGGGATTTAAAGCAGGGCAAGAAGATCAGAGAACATAAATTCCCTTCCAGTCGTATATTAAGCACCTACTGTATGCTAGACCCCAAAACTCACCGGATTGTGGTCACCTGTAGCCCAGGACTGCAGGGTGGGGTCAGGCTCTCCAGGGAGTGAGAACCTGGGGCCGGAGGTGATGGGCCGAGGGTCAGCTGCTGTCCCCGACACACTCTGTCCAGGAGAGTGGAGGGCTGGCACCCAGAGGTCACAAGGGCACACGCGTGCGTGCACACACACACACACACACAGCTACCGTAACAGGGCCTTACTAAAGTCACCAAGTCACTCTTTTTCCAGTGCCAGAGTGAACAGAAGGACAGGGGACGGCAGGGCCTGCCCCTCCCCACCCAGAGAGCTCTCGCTTGATTCCACTTGAACTAGGAGCCGACACCTTCCCAGAGGGTCACTGAGGAAGGCTCCCGGGCAGCGTTGGGCCGGGAGCAGACACCCGTCAGGAAGGGGAGGAGAAAAGCGACCAGGGCAGGGACGGCTGGCGTGAAGGTGATCTGCAGGAGAACGCTGCTGAACTTGGCCACCACGGGAGGCCGGAGAACCTAACAGCAGGCTTTCACACTCACTGCCTGGTTCGAATCCAGCTCTGCACTCCTTGCTTAACCTTCCTGGGCCTCGGGTTCCTCGCAGTGGGGACAGCGGTCACTGGTACCTTCCTAGGGCTGTAATGAGGCTTAAGTGAGTCAACAGAGGACAGCTCCTCACCAGCCCAGATCACGGCAGGCATCAGCCCTTGCAGGCTTCAGGCGTTCCTGTTGCGTATGACACAGTGAGAGGCACAAAGGGTAGACTGAGGACAGACAAGGCCAAGAGGGCCTCGGCGTTCAGAGGGGATCAGAAAGGTCCTCACCGGAAGGAGACTAAAGCAGGTGAGGGAGCGTGTCTGGCCCTGCAGGTGTGCTGGGAAGAGCATTCCGGACCGAGGGAACAGCCGTGCAGTGTCTGAAGCCGGCGGGCTCGGGGACAGCCAGGGGCCACGTGGTCAGGCAGAGGGCGCGCCGGCGGGTGGGAGGCCGGTTTCGCGCTGAGAGGGGCCTCGGGAAGGCTGCGCGGAGGAGAGGTGAGGACTCTCGGCCGTGCCCACGGCATCACTCTGCTCCTGCTGCAGGACTGACCGTGGGGTCTGAGCAGGAGCAGGGAGACCGGGAGGTGACGGCCACAGTCCAGGCTTGGAATGCAGGGGGGCCGGGCTGGAGCAGGGAAGGGGATTGAGAAGGGGTCCGACTCTGGATATCTGAAGGGAGCCGGCAGGGCTGACTGACAGCCGGCTGGGGAGAGGAGAGGGAACGGGGACTCGCTGGCTGGGAGACGGAGCAGCCCTGCCCTTCTCCGAGGCCGGGAGGTAGGAGGGGGCTGGGTCGCAGGGCGGTGACCACTGTGTTTCCCAGCCTGCACGTCACGCTTTGTCATAGATTCTTCTCCCTCCCCAACACACTGTGAACAGCCACCCCTCTGAGTAGCTGCAAATAGAGTCCTCCCCACCCCACCCAGTTTGCTGAATGAATAAATGAGAACCCACCCTCCCTAGGGCCCCTCGCACACTCACCCTCTCCCCAGAATGAGGACAGAGGTGGACGCTGGGTCTCAAGCCAAAGCCACCCTTCCCAGCCTCAGCAAACCCCTGTCCTCCCTGTCCCCCCTTCTCCGCCCTCCTCTGCCAGTCCCACCAGGCACCGAGGGGTTTCCTAGGTACCTAAGTATGGGCAATACCAGGTGTCAAGGTCTGAGCGTGGGATTTAGAGTGAAAGGTCCTGAATTCGAGGTGAGGTCTGTTCTGTGGCCTTGGGCAAGTTACGCGACTTCTCTGAGCCTGGACGAACACCAGTCCGCTGGGAGACTCTGAGGATGCAATGAGCCAAGGGCTAGGGTGGTGCTTCGTCAGGGCTTCCCAGCTGCCCTGGGGAGCACATGAGAGAGTCCGTCACCCCCTCCTTCAAGTTAGAGTTTAGAAGCACAGGGATGCATCCTCCCGGCTCCTGAAATTGGAGCCACCCACACAGCCCCATCCTCCCACTTTACAGATGAGGAAACACCGAGGCACCGAGAGGTGGAAGGACTTACCCCCGCCCACTACACTGCCTGGGATGCCACCTGCCTCCCGGGAAGGTATGCAGGGCCCAGTGCTCCTGGCCACTGTCCCAGCCCTGCAGCCCCTTTAGCAAATTGTTCTGAGAGACATTCCCACCAGAGGTGAGCGTGGTCAGCACGGCTAAGACTGGGTGGCCACACCCTGCCGTGAGGGAGCCTGCTGAGTGCACCCGGTGCTCGCTCACACCCGTGCGACCGGA